AAGTATTTTATGTACAATTTTTTTTAAATTTATTATTTTTTCTCTAACTTGATTATTTTTATCATGTAGGGCTACAACGATTTATAAGTCAGCTTATATGCAAAATACATTTTCTCCTAATAATTATAATGATTTTTCTGATATTTTTTTACAAGACGATGACTTTATGCAGGGCTTTGACCATTTTATTGCAGACAATCAGGTTAATGTCACGCATAATATAGATAAGTTTGAACAGTATCTCGCCGATCTGCTTGTTCCCCATTCTCGCACAGGAACGTTTGATGTTTTAATTTGGTGGAAGGAGAATGAATTAAGATATCCTTCCGTGTCATCAATGGCAAGAAACATTCTTGGTGTTCTGATAACTTCAGTTGCTTCTAAATCGGTAAGTAAGATTTGGACTAAGCATTAATTTATTTGATATAGACTAACTTATATTTTTGGTAATTAATACTAAAATTGGCTAATGCTAAAACTAACACGATCTAATCATTATAATTATTTTGGTTAGTTTTAGCTTTATCCAAGTTTTAGTATCAACTGTATTATTAATCATTTAGATCTTTAGCATAGCAGGGGGAATTGTTGATGATAATCAGTCAAATCTTGCTCCAGAAACTATCAAAATGTTAATATGTGGACAAGACTGGCTAAAGAATACAAAGGAACAAGGCTGGGACAAATTAAAGGACGATGCATCAAATGCGTGAAATGTGTTTTTTTTTTTAGATAAGCCTTTTTTAATAAGTATTAAAAAATGAATACCGTAGTGATTTTTTCTGATCAACAATCTTTATGAAAAAAAGTAAGCTACACTTTTAAAATGTTTTTTTTTTTTGAAAAATTGTTATGAGATTTAAATATTTTTATGATCGGGGTAATAAACCCAGATACTGTTGTTAACATAAAATACGGGTTGAAAAGGATAATCAGAAAACCTAAACGTGAATCATTGTAATAGTAGAATATTAAAAGTTTAACAATATTTGTGAATATAATTATAAAATTGTAATTGAAGTTAGAAAAAAGTAAAATAGAAAATTTTCACAAAGTATATATTAACATCACTGTTGAATTATTAAATAGTAAGATCACAGATAGGGTGTAATTTGCATAAGTTTTAATTTTATTGGCACATTTTATAATTGATTTTACCTTCATTCGATCTGATTAAGTTATTGATTTCGGCATAACCCGTATAATAAAAATAATAAAAAAAATAAAAGCTATTTTGTAACATAGTGATTATTTTACGATCGTTATATCAATAATATCAACGTTTTTAAATTTTCATTCAAATGCATGTCAAACATGTTTGTTGCTTGGTTTTTATAAAAAAGACTGCTCTTGTTAACCAATAAACCTTAATAAAAAGCTAAATGTATGCTGTTTTTTGTTGGCATCTGCTATTAAAAAAGTTAAATATCTAATGACTAGTTTAAAAATGAACAAAATTTAACCGGATTAGCCAAAAAATCATTCGGCAAGGTGTCCCAGAAATTATGATCTAGGGGTGCATTTATGGGGCAGGCCGGGCCGGGCTTGGGCCTAAATTAAAATAAAGCCCAGCCCGGCCTACTTGGTAGAGAATTCGGGCCTTGATCGGGCCCAAAATTTTTTTTTGAGCTTGGTTTTGGGCCTAATAAAGCCCGGCCCGGCCCGGCCCATTCCGGACCCTAATTATAATAATTGAACCCTTTGAAAATACAATTTATGAAATGTATTATTACCAAAACTATCTCTACTTCCACATAATAAAGTTCAAGTCTATAAGATATGTATTGTAATCAAATAAAGAAAAAACTAATTAGTAAGCAACCCAAAGACATAAAATTAACAATATTAAACAGAGATTTTAAAACTTTACCAAATACTAAAAAAAAACTTAATACTGTATATACTTTTTTTTTTTTTTATGTACTCTTCTCTAATCAATTGTTTTTGCTACTCTTTATCTTGAGTATATTATAAAATAAGGTTTATGATAATTTGATATTTATAAATCTGAAATTCTAAAGCTATTTCACTGTTTAAATGAAAATTCTTAAATTATAATTAAAAAAAAAGATTGTAATATATATACATACATATGTATGTACATGATCATGTGGTAATGCAATACTGCAATACTGTAATAATGAATCATGCAGTAATCTAAAATTAGAACAGAAAATCATCATACACAAAAATTACTGCGTATAGAACTGTATCAAATTATAATATGTCAACATATGTTGAAATTTTTACTACAAATAAATCACACACTTGCAAATACAATTCAATAAAAATATCAATTTCCGTTAGTTCGTCTCTAAACCCTGATTTGATATGGAAGGACCCATATAATATATAAGGTAGGTATGGGTATTATAGTGTATTACCAATTATAGTGCAATGCAATATCTCATAACCTACTAGTCGGATTTGTGCAATTTTGGTACCAATCGATTCATCTTAGTAAGACAAATTGATTAGTGATAAAATTGTATAAATTCAATTACTGGATTATGAGATATTGCCAATAAACTACAATATATTAATATAATAAAAATGAAAGCTAATTTTATGTCACATATGATCAGCAATAACTCCTGATCCTGTGATCAGAATTAACCGATTTTAGTACCATCAGATTCATCTCAATGAGACGAATCAAATAATATAAAAATTGTTCAGTTTGGATCAATACAACACCAGTCACTCTGAATTTACTCTTAATTACTATAATTATCTTATAACATTTAAATGACAATAACTCGAAATCCTGCAATCAATATTAGACAATTTTTATATCATTCAACTCGTCTCACTGAGACGAATCGATTAATGGTAAAATCACAGGAGTCCGATCATTAGATCTTGAGATATTGCTGGTGCGCCATAATACATCTATTGCACCATATTACACTTCAAAATTTGGGTGTATACGATTGCTAATAACTCGTGACCTAGTAATCTAAAATTGGATGATTTTGATACCATTCGATTCGTCTTGATGAGACGAATCGAATCAATTTGGATAGATAGATTATGAGTTACACTAATTTTTATCTTAATTGCGCCATAATACCTTATGTTTTATAGCTCTAAAATAAAACCAGTTGGATATTGCATTTTCCCTAGTATGTCTTAATTTTTTTTTTTTTTTTAAAAAAAAAAATAACTTTCTAAAGTTTTAAAATACTAGTCATCCTTAAAGTAGATTGTAATCTATAAACTAACTAGTTCATAATATTTATCATTGATACTTATTATTGTTTAGCGAACAATTCTAATAAATTTTTCATTTCTATTATAGTTTAGCAAACAATTGATTAATTGATAGTTTTAACAAATTTCAATATCCAACATTTTTTATGAATACTGAAGATAACATTTTATATCTATCAAATAACTGCAAACCCATCTAGCGTCGTTTTAAAATGATACCAAATCAAGTCATCATCATGTTTGGAGTCATTACATTCGTCATCTTGACTGGATGAATTCTCTATCAAGCCTTCACAAACCAGAAATAATGTATTTATTTTAGCAAATTTAAGTTTTAACAGTTGTTTAGGAATTAATTCTGGCGGGGAATTTTTTCTGGACGTTTTAATAAGCAAATGTAGTCGTGTAGCGTCTAATATCGTTAAACAAGTTATATTATTAGCATTCATAAGAATCATCAACAATTTTTTTTTTTTTTAATTGTATAGTTACTTACTTAAAGGGTCTTGCTCATTTAAATTCCCCAACAAAGACCTGAGCAGTTTTCTTTCGCCGGAATCTTCAAGCTGTGGTGCATCTAGCTCTAACATCGAGTCTGCACATACGTTAAGAAACTCTAAAAAGTAAATTTCTTTTGGATTCATTGGTGTATTTCCAAATAATATGGTTAAATTCAAAGAGCCCAAACAATTGTGATAGGCAAAGATGTGTTGAAATGTAGTTGTAACCGTTTCGGATAGGATTTGAAAGTTCGTGATCAACTTTTTTTTTGTCGATAGAAATTTGTTATCTTTATATTTATAAAAAGATCGTTTTTTTTTTTTCTGATTATAATATTAACAAACCTCCTTTATTTTTTTTGTCGTCGCGTTTTGACGTTTATTTTTTTGCTGTATAACAAAATAAATAATATGATAAAAATTTTGTGAATGACAAGTCTCAAATTTATACAAATAATATTACATCGTCAGCTCCTCGCAGTAAGTTTTCAATCTGGTCAAAGGGACTTTTGGTAATTTTTATAAGTTATATTATCCAGATAAAAATATTGGATTTTTATAGCTAAAAAATCTTGGTATATACCATGGGATTTGACCTCTCATAAATAAAATATGCTTGATAAACGTTAAGGTTAATCTTGCAGCAAAAGAAGCTGATAAAACGTGTGGAAAATATATATTCATCGCGTTTTCGGATGTTAACATTTTTTTTTTTAATTTTTTTTTTTTCTGTAGAAAAGCAATTTTATTCGAAAATTTCAGAGTCGATGAAAAAAACCTAATGCTGTATTTATTGAAATTAGTGATCGATAAAAAAAAAAAATTTTTTTGATAAGTCTATGAAGATACAAAACTTTTATATCTGATATAGACTTGTGCGCTTACCACTTTACTAACAGTTTGGCCTAACATAAAATTAATGACTAATTTTTTAATTGTTAATTAATAAAATAGTTGACAAAATTTAATATTTAGAAAAAAAAAAATTTGATATAATTCTAATTACAGTGGTTAAAACTTGATTAAATCCTGTTTAAAGGTCAAGTCTGGGCTTAAGAAAATGTTTAAAATAATTTATGCAAGAAATTTTTAACATTACACTTTCACACTCGTATATAAAATTTTTATATGATATATACATAAAATTAAAAAACTCGTTAGCTGGGTTTGCTTTAATACTATATTATAGTATAACAACCAAAAATTAATATATATAGTATATTTTATTATATATCGATATTATATACGTTCCTCGCATTATTCAAATTTTGGCCCGAATTATAACCATCCTGGCCGCATTACAGCATTATGTGCAAAAAAAAAAGCGGGCTTGATGACGCATGTCTAATTTGGCTACGGGATTTCACCCGAAGTCATAATACCGATACTGATAATCCATTTTAATCGATAACAAATTTCCTGACAAGCCATTTATTTGAAACCATTTCTCCGAACTAAAAACTATAGACTATTATTATACTTCATGTCAAAGAATTGAGTTTCAGAAAATTAGGTTGATCGGAAAAAAAGCGTTCAGAGAAATTATACTCCGGGAGATTGAGCAACAACGGTTTAATTTTAACTATGTACTAGCACTAGACAAAAGAACGAAAGCCTTTATATTTGAATAGCATAAAATACTAATATTGTAAGATATTGTAATTTTTTTGGCACTCCGAGGTAAAAAGAATCTGCAATATATTTATTCAATTAACAAAGTTTTAAACTATTTACAGTACTTCATTCATTTATTTTAATTTAATTGCAAAATATTCTGAAATTAGCCTCCAATACTTTCTTGAGCCCAACTTCTTAAGGATATGCTGATGCGCACCATTGATGGTTTTCAGTCAATTCTTGCAAATAGCATTACCAGCACGTTAAAAGCCTATTCACAACTCACACTAATGGTCTATAGTCAGTGTTTAAATCTTCGGTACGCTGATTCCGCATAAGCCCCTAAATTTAAATTTTATAAAAACATTTACGTATATTGATAAACACTATAGATAGATGCATTTTTACGTATAACGATAATAATTGATATAGATATCGATATAGAGGTCCAATCCGGATAAATCCGTCATCCATTTATCCATATCTGAATTTATCCGGGGGTAATCCGACAAATATTCGGATAATTATCCGGATATCAATAGCAGTCAGGGAAGATGTCACGCCGACTGATTTTACATAGTAACGTTACACAAGAATTTTTTAAATACTATTCAATCGTGCAAAGAAAAACCTCAAAACTCTCTAAATATTCGACCTTCAA